GGTAAATGTGTACAAATGAATAAGATGAAGGCATATCCTGTGGATAACGGATGAGGAGAGGAGTAGTGAAGCAAGTGATCAGTTGTGACAGGCAAAGACCATGGACCGAAGTTAGACTGGGACAAGGAATGGCGGCGCTGGTCCACCGGTTGCACGACCGCTCATGATGAGCGCAGGACGACGACGGCAATAGTACTGTGTGCGGGTTCCCCGCGAATCATGCTTTTCGTGGTGATCGACGACAGTGCAACCCGAGCGCGGTTTCCTACCGGCGCCCCATTATCCCCCAGGGACGGTCGTGCGACATCACGACAGCAGCCTTCCACTAATGTTGATAAAGAGTAGCATTCCAGGCAAAATGCTAGAACAATCCCAGTGATAACATCATTTTTCTTTCTGGTTACTAAACAGCATAGCAAACCTGGCCGATTCAGGTTAGTCTATCACAATCCGGATTTCATGGATTGGGGACCACTTTACGACACCATTTTCACACGCATTATTCGAGCAATGGGACTTTGTGTTAGAGAAGGAAAAATAACGGTACGTAAGTGCACATTCGTGCTCCATTAATCATAGCGGCACTTTGATCTGTTCAATCGAATATGAGCCGCTCAATTCATCTGTAACTAAATGAGGACCACTACTTGAAAAGTCAAAAAAATTTCGATTTGCTGCTTGAGCTGATTGCAAATCTGAGAGCAATGATCGGAAATGGTGTGCCTTCAGTTAGCTGTTACAGTTTTTCCCCCAATGTTCTCTTATTTTTAGCAGTATCCTTCAAAAAACCAAACAGGTTATTTCTCACACTGTCCCACATAAAAGGTTCATTGCCCTTAATCCAGGTGGATGAAGAGATGAACAACACAAAAACATTCTGCTTCGTCAGTGGCGCGCCTCTCCTCCACCGCACCTGAAGAGAGTACCCCAACGAGAAAGACACAGTAGTTGTGTGTCTGAGCCTATGCGATCAGCATTGAATACGCCGTAGAAGGTACACTTTAGGAGTACAGCCCATATCGCAGTGAAACAATCGAGCGTGTCAGGGAGCGGATTTGTGCACCGCGGCTGCCGTGTACTACCAGCTGTTTCTGCCTAAAGGCAAAGCCCACGATCATTCGCAATCACAAATAGCGGATTAGGGGGATATATACCATTTTCACTTTAAATCGGACACTTTTCAAACCAAATCGGACACTTTTCAAACCAAATCGGACACTTTTCAAATCAAATCGGACACTTTTCAAACCAAATCGGACACTTTTCAAATCAAATCGACACTTTTCAAATCAAATCGGAACTTTTCAAACCAAATCGGACACTTTTCAAACCAAATCGGACACTTTTCAAACCAAATCGGACACTTTTCAAACCAAATCGGACACTTTTCAAATCAAATCGGACACACCCCTTACAATTAGGTGGTTGATAACTAGACCACACTAGGTACTGTTACAAGCCTCGCCCCATTATCCCCGCCCACTTCTCAGCCCGGACAGGGTTTTCCGAGATGCTTCATGAAATCTGCTCCCTCAACTTTTTTTCGTTTTTGCCCTTTGCACACACACTTCAACTGAAAAAGATTGATACCTATCAGATCTGACTCCGCCCACTTAACAATGAAGTTACGTAAGTTCTGAATTTTTATAACTTTTTCGACGTAGTTCTTTTCACATCCAATCTTCACAAAACGAATAACCATGCACAGCACAACCAGGCCCGCCCCTAATGAACCGCCAGCCAACTTGTGGTTTATCGGGCGGGAATTTTGCTTTTTGTTGCCCGGATTTTCGCTTTTTTAGGCTTTAGCGATTGGCTCCGCCCACCAATGAAAGCTCCGCCCACTTTGGCGAAGTCCCCGCCCACTTTTCGAAAATGATGCAAATCGGCGGGCTAGTGTCCGTACTACGGATTAACGGCCCCTCTCCCCTCGCTCAGAACAAAGTTTTTATTTTTTTCTGGTTTTTCCCTTTTTTTTATTCTATGTGCCGGGAGAGGCCGTAATGCGCCAGAACGGACACTAGCCCGAAAAACCCTGTCCGGGCTGAGAAGTGGGCGGGGATAATGGGGCGAGGCTTGCAACAGTACCTAGTGTGGTCTAGTTATCAACCACCTAATTGTAAGGGGTGTGTCCGATTTGATTTGAAAAGTGTCCGATTTGGTTTGAAAAGTGTCCGATTTGGTTTGAAAAGTGTCCGATTTGATTCCGGATTTAGTTGAAAAGTGTCCCGATTTGGTTTGAAAAGTGTCGCGTTTGATTTGGAAGTGTGTCCGATTTGGTTGATTGTCCGATCTGGTTATAAGGGTCCGAATTCTGTTTTAAAGAAGTGTATTTGATTAAAGTGAAAATGGTATAGATGACAAGGCTGAGTAACACGATAGTGAAGGAAAAAGCAGAAAAAAAGAAATGCCAACTGTCCTAGATAGAACTCCATTTTGATCGCCGCTTGTACGTGCCCTATTACTCCATCTCCAATACTACGCCCCCATCAGCTCAGCTAATTACCCAGATAAGAACTGTAAGACCGTAGAGGTGACAATTTTCACTGCTTTTTTCGTCCTGCAGCTTCGTTTTTCACTGAAAAGCGGGCCTTGAAGGCGGAGTCTGGAGGCGGTCACTGGAAAAAAGGAGGCGTCACTGAACCTATATTGCGCTATAGCGCCCCTCCCTTACAATTTTTTTGCCGCAAAACCGGTACAATGTTGTTCGTCGCGGACGCACTACCCTCGCGACGCTTTATTCTCGGCTTCTGTACCTGATCGCGGACTATGCCTCAGAGGGCGGCATCAGTAAATATATAACGTCTTGTCCGTTGATCAAACTCCTTTTTGGGAGTGGCATGCACTCCACTTTCATTCAGAATGTGGTATTGAATGGCTAATGCAATGACTTGCGGGGGCAAGCGATGTAGAAGTCAGTATTCCTGTCCTCCCACACGTACCTAGTACCAATCTAGCGTCCCCGGAGAGTGGAAGGCGTGGTTGCCCTGGACGGGAGTCGACCCAGAATTGGACACCGCACCGCGCACTTGGTAAGCTTGCCACCTGTCTGTATATTACCTCCGCCTGCCAACAACCACCGCTGCGGTCGAAATCACTTCCCCTCGGATGGCTGCGATATGGACCATAATCGCGAAGTAGGTACTTACCTGCAATACACAGTAAATATTGATAGATTCACAAAATAAGGAATCAAGGAATGCAGTAGAGAGAAGCAGAATCACATGTAATGTTGTTTCAAGATCGGTGACGGCTCTGGCTCCTCAAGCCTCGACGGATTTGCTCGTTTCGTATCATCTACTATTGGTGGACCATGCAGGTAAGCTACTTCTCAATTGGATGCTGTCCGTATGAAGATGTGTGAAGGATGTTTTGATCTTTGCAAACAAAAAGACGTGGGCCGGAGCGTGAATTTGATAGCATCCAGAGTGGCCTTTTCCCGCGAGGTGCCGTCCTGAGGCTGCTACAATCGGTGAAAGAGACCACCCTGGCCGCAACCGGCGTGTATGGCGGCTGAGGAGCGGCGTGCTAAGGAGCGTGCACTCCAGTCCACGCTCTATCACACGCCATATCATTTGCAGGGATCATGACTGCATACAGGGGGGGGGGTAGAGAAGAAAAGACACTTTTCTTTCTCGAATTTCAAGGCGATATAAGTTACACTTTATCAAATTCTGATTGATCATTCACCACCAATTCAACAACACATTGCACACGATCACGAAACTCCGCCACAGCCTTCTGGACGAACGCCATCGAGAGATTCTGCCACGCGACCGTGATTCGGTGCCTGAGTTCAGCGAGGTCGTTGATTTCTCCGCCACTGTAGACCACCCTGTTGAGCTCCTCCCGAACCCGGTAATCGAGAAGGTTCAGGTCAGGTGACACACTTGGATATTCCGTCTTCTTCAGGTACTCAACGCCCTTTGATTCCAAGTAGGCGAGAGTTTCGCCCTTCAATTCCAAGTGCTGGCACCTAATCCTGTAGCAGTGCAAAGTTTCAAGACGGTACAGGCGACGACACGAAGGCAGGAAATTCTCCTCGAGTTGGTCGATGTAACCGTCAGCGTTCATTTTGAGTCCGGGGTCCATAAAGAAAATATAGTTCCGCGTTTTAGCCCCCTATATAATGTACCTGCACCTGTACATGTCTGTCTGTCTTTCTGTACATATACAGCACCGTTTTTGCAGTTGCCAAAAACAGCTTGAGAAAATGATGAAGACGATAGAGCCATTCTTCAGTCCTGAGCCAAAATAGAGAAGGCGATCACCCACAAGGCTCTTGCTGCTCAACTTCCTTCAATATCTGATTCGAGAGTTCCTTGGACGATATGAAGATGAGAGAATAAAGAAGAATAAAAGAAAAGTAACTTTTATCCAAGATTTCTCGGAACCTAAATATGTTCTGAACCACCACTTTTTAGGTTCCTCTAAAGTATTACCTTACCGATAACGATGTCAGATTATTTGTGGACACATTACTTCAGTCGATTCTTTACTCACTATACTCGAAAGATGGAAAAAGCTATGATGTAAGTGATAGCGATTAAGGGACAAAGGGTACTTGTGATAAAATTAACCATTTAAGCTACCTGCAAAACTTCTAATGATGCTGGGAACATTGGAACCTGGACACGTATTCCCACGATTTCTCGATAAGTGAGTTGATCTTGCTGGTTTCCGGGAAGAAAAACCATGAAATCAACATGTTCAGTGTCTATCCAGCAATGTTTGCTGTGTGTGAACCACACCGACTAACGCAAACGCTCGATTGCATGTTCGAATTAGTGTTTATCATCGCCAGCGATGAAAAACAGGGAATCGAGCGGCGGAAGATGGAAAAGGATTGGGTCGCAGAAATGGAAAAAGTGTGTTCTTTATATCTTAGTCAGCCTTCGCTCTTGTATTCATTCTTATAACGGACACACTAACACGAGACCTACAAAATGGCTTTGCTC